TTGGGCTGCAGCTAGTCAGGTCATGGTTAAAACGGTCCCGTGCCAAGGGCAGCAGATCAGGTTTTGACCCCATGCCCGCTGCCCATGCATACCTCCCTCCTGCAGACTCTCCCTGGGGCTTAGGGAAACGGATAACAGCAATAAGCCCTGCGAGCGCCGTATCGCCAGAGGCAGCGCTGCTCCCCGAGCTGTTGACATCCTGCGGTATCGGTTTACCTGACAGGTAACAATTGGGGCATTCATGAGCTCCGTGAGCTGGACCTGGAGGAAAAGGAGACGATTCTCCTTTGTGCTGTTGGCGCTGAGCTGTAGGCACCTTGGCGGGAAGCACGGGTGCCCAGCCCAGCAGCCTCATTGCCCGTCAGAGCGGGTTAGGTGGGGCCGGGCTTGCTTAGGGCTTGGTCACGGCTCACAGACTCATTCGTTGCCCTGAGGTAGCAACTGGAAGGCAGCTCGGGTCAGGGGTGGGCTGAGGGGTTGCATTGGTCAGAGTGGTGCCAGCAGATGGAGGGCAGTGATTCCTCCCCTCTGTTTGGCACTGAGGAGGCCACATCTGGAGTCCTGTGTCCAGCTGTGGCCCCCACTACAGAAAGGATGTGGACACATTGGAGAGAGTCCAGCGGAGGGGGATGGAAGAGGATGAGGGTCTGGGGGGCATGACTGGTAAGGAGAGAAGTGGTTGAGGGTCTGGGGGGCATGACTGGTAAGGAGAGGAGGAGGGAAATGGGCTGATGTTGTCTGGAGAAGAGAAGGCGGAGTGGGGATTTGATAGGTGAGGAGAGGCTAAGGGAAATGGGCTGATTGAGTTTGGAAAAGAGAAGACCGAGGGGGATTGAATAGCAGCCTTCACCTCCCTGCAGTGGGGGTGCAAAGAGGACGGATCTGGGCTGTTCTCAGTGGGGGCAGGTGACAGGACAAGAAGCAATGGGCTCAAGTGGCAGCTAGGCAAGTTGAGGTAGGGAGAATTAGGAAAAAAATTTCTCACTAGGAGAGTAGTAAAACACTGGAGCAGGCTCCCCAGAGAGGTGGTGGACTCTCCATCCTTGGAGGTTTTGAAGACCCATCTAGACAAAGCCTTGACTGGGATGATGCAGTCGGGGCTGGTCCTGCTTGGAGCAGGAGGGTTGGACTAGATGTGACTCCTGAGGTCCCTTCCAGCCCTCATTGTCCATGATTTCTATGCTGCCGTGTGAGATGAGCTCAGTGGTGTCAGTGCTAGATTCACAACACGCCCCTTTGCACAAGTGAGGGGTTAGATGCACTGTCCTCCCTTCAGCTCCTGGTGGTCTCTCCAGTGCAAGGCTATGGGGAGGATAGTGTGCAATCATGGCTGGGGGTGATCTAGGCATATCTACCATGGGGATTGCCCAGACTTCTGGGCTTTGCTGGTTGATCCCTCCCCCCATTTCTGCTCCATGTTTCAGGGGGTTTTTAAGCCTCCCCCAGAGACGCTGGGTGCTGCTGCAGCCCAGGCTGGGGATGGGGACTGGGCTGCGCCGATGCTGCTGCTGGGACCACCCCACAGGGTCCTGGCTAGAGGGTCTTGCCCCTCCGCTCGGGGTCAGGTCGATGCCACATTTGGGGTCAGGAGGGAATTTCCCCTTGATCAGATTGGCCTGGACTGGGCAGTGGGGTTTGCCTTCCTCTATAGCCGGGGCATGGTCTTTACTTGGGATCTCGAGTGCATATTAACAACCTTTTACAGAAGCAGGACGTTGGCTGCTGTGATCCCCCTGGTTTATCTGTGGCAGGTTCAGGTGCTATGTCTTGTGCTGTGTCAGGACGATGGTAGTTTTACAAAGAGTTCAGATGACGGCTTTGTCGGGGTGGTTTGGGTAGGGCTGATCTTGGGGGTTGCGCTAGATGTGACCTCGTAGCCCCGCTGCTCTGTGATTTTATGTAGCTTGGCACTCTCTTCCCCAGGTTAGCTGGATCACAGTGTCCATGACTGACCTGGGGCTAAGTGGCCTTTTCCTCTGGGAGGAGGCTGACCCTGAGATTTGGAGGGCAGCCCGGCAGGGCTCCCTGCCCAAATACCTCTCGGACCATGACCCCTGGGGCGGACCAGCCGCCAGCAGGATTGTGCCTGGAAGCATGAGCCACGATAGTCTGAGCTGAAAGATTGCTCTCAGCACAGGAGAACTTAACTTTTTTGATCCATGGCACCATCTCCGTCCTGCCGGCTGAGAACCGCCGTCTCCGCCGATTCATGAGCCTCGGTTGATGGCTTGGGAGGGATGTTGTGTGCGTTGCAGATAGATGTTTTGCCCTTGCTTGCTGCCGTGCTGTCTTTCCCAGGAGCCGTGGACTCCATCCAGCACCTTTCACCAACCGGTACGATGTTCATTTAATAAGCAGCTTATTGAGCCAGGTCTCAATACCTCCTGCCACCTTGCATCCAGTGCTAAGGATTACAGCCTTAAGGAAACTGCTGCTTGTGATATGAAGCCACAGCCTCCTCTGCCTATATCTGGGAGGTGGCCAAGATGATGTAAAAAGGTGCTTTTCCTGGTGGCCTGGCACTCCCATGCCCCCCGGGCTGTTGCAGGCCAATACTCTGCCGATCTCTAGTCCAAGGTGATATTGTTATCTCTATGTGCAATATAGAGTAAACTCTGGAGTAAGTTACTCGGCATAATTGTTCTGTATTATGTCCACACCTGGTGCAGCTTTGTGATGCAGGTGGCGTGAAAGCTGGTCTTGCCGGGCAGCATTGCAGTGGTCTGCTCCAGTCCCTGATCTCTTCCTACGCACAGCACGAGCTGAAAGCCGCACGGTGGCTGCTTCAGGCGTGAGACCTGTTAGACGGGGTCTTCATCAGACTGGACCGGTGCAAGGTGCTGCACCGTGGGAAGCATGCACACAGAGTGGGAGACAACTGGCTGCATGGGAGGACTGGCAAGGGAAGTCTGGGGGGGTTTACGCATCACAGGCTCCCACATGAGTCAGCTATATGGCACCGCAGCAAAAAAAAGGAAATGTAGATTTGGGCTGCAACCACAGGAGAATTGGCCATAAGACATAGGAAGTGATAGCATCTCTCTGCTCAGCGCTCGTTAGGCCGCACTAGACTCCTGTGTGCGGTTTCGGGTTTCACATTTGATGAAGGACGTGCAGAAGTCGGAGAGGGTCTAGGGGGAGGCGACAGCCATAATAAAGGAGCTGGGATGTGAGAGGTAAGGATTTTTGTGGGCCATTTCTTTTATTGGGCCAACTGCATCTTTTGGCTGCGGTTTTCCCATTGGAAGCGCTGGATTTCGGTGTCTTCCATGTCGTGGGGTTGGACAAGGAGACGCTGAGAGAGCTGGGCATGTTTAGCTCGGAGGGAAAGTGATTAAGGTGGGGACGTGGGAGTAGTTTTCAAATATCTGGAAGGCTGCCATAAGGAAGAGGGAGAACAACAGTTCTCCTTGCTGCAGAGGGCAGGGCACGAAACACTAGCTGGAAATTGCAGCCAAGCAGATTAAGATGAGAGATCGGAA